ATTACGAAATAGAGGGAGGAAAATGACGTACCAGGGGTCTAAGCAATTTAATAATCGCTTTTTTGAGATGTGAACGAGGTGATTTCTCTATGCAATTCTGATCCTCTTTCTGTGATTGTGTGTGTTTTTGGTCTTTTCTTTTTCTTCTCCTTGTTATTGATTTTGTTCGTGTTGGACAGTGCTTGTGTGTGAGTGAAAGAGAGGGTGCTACTAGTATGCGAAAAGTTTAGGGTTTTGTACATGTGCATCTTGCGGTGGGCAAGTGAATCACATAACACATTATGCGATCACATATGTGTTATGCGATGGATTAATGACTGGGTCGCTCAACCTTACTTTGCGACGCATTATGCGGTCACATAGTTGTTATGCGGACCGCAGAAGTTGAAATCTTACCGCATTTTTGAGGACCCAACTTGCCATTTTTTCTAAATGTGTCTGCGACCACGATGCGATTTGCAAAGTCATTATGTGACCGCATAGTTGCCGCAAACCACGGAACCTTATTTTCGTCATTTACATCAGTCCTTGCACCCTGTTTCATGGTACTTTGGACTACCTGCATTCTAATACACACGTTAACCTGCTCAACAATAAGAACTAAACCTACAAAAATTAAAAATCTAACAAAAGATTGTTACCACACATGGGTTGCCTCCCAAGAAGCGCTTGGTTTAACGTCGCGGCACGACAATGTTGACCCCGTTTGGGCTACTCAGTGGTAGGGGCTGGTGTAGGACTATCCTTGAGAGCAAATTGTTCTATCAAATGCCTTTTTTCTGTGGTATCGAGGTAATGCTTGACTCTTTGGCGATTTACCTCGAAAGTCTCCAATTTAATAGCACCATACGGAGACACACTCACAACTTTTAATGGGCCAGACCATTTGGATTTGAGTTTGCCCAAAAATAACTTGAGTCTTGAGTTGAAGAGCAAGACCAAGTCTCTAGATTTGAATTCCCGCTTCAAAATATTTTTGTCATGAACAAATTTCATTCTCTCCGTATATATGGCTGCACTCTCATAGGCACGGAGACGGAATTCTTCCATCTCATTGAGTTGTGTCATTCTTAGGTTAGCAGCTTCAGCCCAACCAAGATTCAACTTTTTCAATGCCCACATGTCTTTGTGTTCAAGCTCCACTGGCAAGTCACACGCCTTACCAAAAACCAACCGAGCATACGCCCAAGTCCAATATAACCAAATGAACCTATTAAAACCATCAAATCCCGATTTTGAGGTCTTCTACATAAAAGTCAAACCTTGGTCAATACTTCCAACATAAATCTTCTGAATTGAGAACTACTCTTCCAAATCAACTCTGAATCTGTCAAAAATCAAAACCAACCATGCACGCAAGTTATAATGCACAATGTAAAGCTACTCAACTCTCAAATTGCCGAACAAAGTGCTAAAGCTCAAACAACTAGTTGGATCATTATAATTTGTTGTTATGTGACTTGCGGGGATGGTTAGTTTAATTTCGGAGAGGTTTTGGATTTAATTTGAACACTTAGTTTCTGGTTTTGAAGCTTAAGTTGAAAGTGTTCAACAAATTTAACTCATGTGTATTTGACCTTGGATCGAAGTTTTGATAGTTCCGCTAGGTCCGGCTGGTAATTTTGGATTTAGTGGTATGTCCGGATTTGGATTAGGAGGTTCCTAGGTTTATTTGGTTATAATTGGCAAAAGTTGGCAATTTGAAGGATTAAAAGTTTAGAGGTTTTGCCCATAGTTGGCTTTGTAGTTATTGATGTCCATTTTGGATTACGAGCCTTGAAATAGGTTCATATGGTAACTTATAACATGTGTATAAAATTTGAGGTCATTCATAGTTGTTTACACAAGTTCAACGTAAGTTTGGAATTCAGGAATTTGAATTAGTTCATTGAGCTTGAATTTGTGTGCAATTCGTGATTTTAATGTAATTTTGTGTGATTTGAGGCCTCCAGTAGGTTCGTGTTATATTTTGGAATTCGTTGGCATGATTGGATTAGGTCAGGAGTGTTGAAGACCAATTTGGCCCTCCATTTTTCGAATTAACCTATTACGCTTCTAGATCAACAATGACGTAATCAAGTACTTTTAAAATTATTATTCAAATTACCTATTTTACTAGAAGATATATATATATATATATATATATATATATATATATATATATATATATATAGCAGTAATAATAGTTATTAATATTAATCACATGCCCATAATTATATAGTAGTAATTTAGTCTTAAAGAAATGCGGTTATGTCACCTTTATTATTTTTATTAATTAGCCAATCGACCCATTTATAATTCTTAATACAAAGTTATTTATTTTGATGACGTGAAATTAGATTATAAATACACGTACATATAGTAATTTGTTAATTATACTTCATTATGGAATTTTTACATTCCTATACACTATATGAAACTATATTACCCTCCCTACTCAAGTTTTACTATAATTACATTTTATATACCCAATTACCATTTATGTACATTTTAAGGGAATTAATGATAATATTAGTGTCCTAAAATTACTCTAACATATCTTCCACTCCCCCACGTTTCTCTCTCCACATCCCACCCCCTCCCCCACGTATCTTGCACCCACCCACGATTCCACTATTGACAACCATTAAAAAGCTTTGAATTCGAATTTGGATTTTCAAAAAATATTATTTGTCTGAATTGGATGTTATTGCAAAGAATCGGGAATTCTCTCTACGTCTCTCTCTATCTCTCAATCCCTAATTTCAGTAATGTAAAGCAAAGAAAAAGAGAGTAGCAATTCCACCATTGACAGCCATTAAAAAACTTTGAAGCTTTGAATTTGAATTTGGGTTTTCAAAAATCATTATTTGTTTGGATTGGGTGTTGTTGCAAACAATTGGGAATATGGTTTGGAGTTTATATCTCAATTTTGAGGGGTTTTGGTGAAGATTAGACTTGGTTTTCGCTGAATTTCAGAATGAAACTCGTCGAAGAAGAAGAAGAAGACATGATACACATTATATTTACGAAATTTTAGTAAAATTGTAGAAAAATTGTATTCTATTATTTATATATTTTTCTTTTTATTTATTTAACTATTGTATGAAAGTTGAACAACATTGTATAAAAATTATATTTAAGTTGTATGATATTGTAGTTGTATTTAACTGAGTAGAAATAATGTATGTAGATAAGTTGTATAATATATAATTAGTTGTATGAAATTTATTTTTACTATGTATAAATCAGATACAAAATATACAAAAGACATATTGTATAAAACTTGTATAACAATTGTATATAAGTTGTATGATATTGTAGTTATATTTAACTGTGTAGAAATAATGTATAAAAGTTGTAGATTAGTTCGTTTGAATCCTAAAAATACTCTTTAATTTTAGATTTTGTATATACATATTTTTCTTCTAATCCCAGATTCAATGTCAATCGTTTTTGCTCAAAATTTGTCCCGTGGAGGAAAGTATTCCAAATAATGGAATCATGTCAAAATTTTGTTAACAGTGATGGGATCAATTTTCGTTTAAGTTTAGAAAATTCCCAAGTCCTTTGGTATTGTAGTTGTGCTGTAAAAAGATGAAATAGATGATGTTCTTCCTGTATACATTTCCTCTTGTGTGATGTAGCTTTAGGATAAAAATTTCAAATTGCTATTTGAAATTTTCATCACTGAATATGTATACAATGTGATATCATGAAATAAGTAAGTTTAGGATAAAATTTTTAAATTGCTTGTTATAGCTTTTTGTTAATGACTATTGCAAGATTTCTTCTATTGAGTCATTAATATTACAAGTCTGGAGAACTGAATACGCATGGAGAAAGCTGGAAATTGTTAAGAAATAATATTATAGTTATAAACTAAAGCACCAAAAGAGAACAGGCAAGAATAGATAAGATATGTAGAGAGGAGGAGGAAACTCTTCTTCTTATTTCAACTATGTAATCCGTGAACTTTGTTCTCTCTGTTTTCTTGTATTTGACAATCCCAAGAAAAGAAAGAACTGGAATAAGCCTCCACCCAATTTAGGTAAAACCCATATCATGAAATGTCTTCTAATATCTCTCAATATTATTGATTATTGGTATAGTATGTCGGTAGTCTTTATGTTTCCAATACATGATCTTGATTTATCTAGACAACTGTTTTATTTGGGTAATACTATTAAATTGTTGTTTCACTATAGAACATTTTGTATTTTTCAAAAGATATTAAAATAGAAGAAGAGAAAAAAAAAGGTAAAGGGTGTAACTAAATCCCTTAATTGAAAGTATTAATAATGGATTGGGAGCCTTTTAAGGTGAAATGTATATATTTTGTAAACAAAACTTGTGTAGGTAGGGTAATTTAGTAAACATGAACATTTAGGGTTGGCAAACGGATCACAATAACAGATACCTGGGAGCATACCGATGGAATAAAAAAAATACGAACAGTTAACATAATTAAGTTTCCAATAGTTTATAGGATGAAAAAATCCCCTTCATTATATCTTAATGGTATTAAAGAAGTTTAATTAATATGTTCAACAAAAAAAGAAGTTTAATTAATTTAATTTATGATAAAAGGGATAAGATTTAAATGGGTTATACTTGCAATTAATGAATTTTTATTAAGATGGCTATCGGATTAATTTAATTTTTCAGCTGCCCTCTTTCAAACCCCAAAAATTTGCCCCAAAAGAGCCTTGACCCTCCCAGGCCCAAATCCTATGCAGCAGCCCTTTCCTACTTGGCGATCCATGCCATATCCCCTCCACCAATCACACTTTTCCACAATAGCGACTTAAAGGAACTCACAAGACAAACACACCTCACATGGACCATTGATCACATTTATCAATAGTCCGAATTAATTGTGTTTTTCTCTGTTAAAAATAATTCCATCCCCATTAATCGCAACTGTTGGATCAAAACAATCCAACGACTCCCGCTTTATCTCCCATTATTATTTTCCGTTTATATTCAGTCCAAAATATCCTTATCCCCCATTCAGCGGCTCACGCTCATTCTCTAATTTTTTACATATCGAATCCCTCAAACCCTAATCATTCTACTCATCCACCATCCACCCCATTACCCTTTTCTCTCATCGCTCTCTCGTCCTCTCTTCTCTGAAACCTCTCTGAACTTAGAACTAATCACTGCAAGTCACTGAGAGACCACTGTGAGACCACCATCATCCATATTAGCCAAGAATCTAGCCAACGCCATTCCCATTTTCATCATATACTTCAAAATCTCAAAACACCAAAACCCTAGCCCGAAACATAAAATCCATAGAATCACATCATCACACCTTCATCGGTTCAAATCCGCCATTAAAACCCTGCATGCACCTCCAGATTCGGATGAATCTTGACATAATCATGACGTTTGATGACCAGAGGTCAAATGCAAGGACCTCTACGTAAAAGCTTTGTCTTGAGGTCTGACGGCTTCAATGGCTAGTCCATTCATCACTTCGGAGAGGGTAAATCTTCAAACTTTTTCATCTCTTATTTTGTATCTTACTCCCTTGATTTCCTCACGAGTTTCTTCATCAGTGTTCATTATTGTTTCTTGTCTTCTATCACTTTTGAATCTGAGGGTTCAAAATCTCGAACCCTAAAGCCCAACTCTTTGGCTACAAATACAAGGCTTTAATGCCTTTACCTAACAACGATTAAGTAGCATAAATGCAATTGCACTAAAAGTATTAAAATCTCTACCTATTGTTCACAATCTTTTATTCTTTTCTTTCTTTCATCTCTGGTCGAGGTTAATTGTTCTTGAGCTAACTGTAGGTACTAATCCTTAACGGCTAAAGCTAAGCCTGGTTTGCTAGCCTTAGGAAGGTCAGTATGCTTTCAATTTTGTTTCAATGATTGAATTTGTGTATGGCTTATCATGTATAATTGTTCTTTTTGATTAGCCTAATGTGTGTTGAGTTTTATGTTAGCAGTTGTGTTTTCTTACTTTGTTAGCATTAATATGATATAAAGCATGTTTGTGAGATTGGTTTACATAGCATGATTATATTTCATGGATTTAATATTGATCTTGCTCTGTTTGATTAGACCTAAGCTGATTTCATTCGCTTACTTTTTTAATGTTAGATATAGATGATATTCCACATTGTTACAATGTTAGATATAGATGATATTCCACATTGTTACAAGGCTGTCTTATTTTTCATAGATACCATGCCTATAAGATCTTTACCTGTTTAAGCTCCAAGATAATATGATGAAGATTCACCTTGTCCTGCTCTCTTAGTTTTCCCTTGTTCTCTATGTAGCATGACTTTTGTTACTTTAACTGTACACTCAAAAATACTTATCATAAACTATTGGATATCCTATGAAGTTTGAGTAATCTTCTGGTTTATGTATTTGTAAATTTGTAGGTGATTGCCATAAATTGGTTTAGGCTCATTTAGATTTCATCTTCTGACTCATTAAGTGTTGGAAATTATGTTCATTATTGTGCAATCTTAGTGAAGTATTAGGCCTCGGTTGAATCCCAATAAATGAATACATGTTTGAGTGTTTATTTTTTGCTCACTCTGGCTAATATCTTAGATTACTTAGAACGACATTCTAGGTTTGAAGTCATCTTTAACATAGCAAGTATGCCTATAGGAGTATACTGTTAACAACTTTTTTATTTTGTGATTCTTATTTGACTATGCCTGTTAGAAACGGTGAAGTTATATGTGTTGTTAGATGTAAAATGATTATAAGGTGCCTTCAGATCCTTGGAACCTCTTAAAAAAATTGCTGGGGTTCCATGATTATATGTGATGATAATGTTCTATATGCCTATGATAGTGATTAGCTTACTGAAAACACTTCAAACCTAAAGCATGTTTTCGTATTCTGATTGTTTATGCAATTTTACCTAAATGAGTGCTTCAATTTCAAATTAGTTTATGTTGAGAAGTCTAGTGTTATTCTGAAACTATTTGCGTCTTTAACCATGATTAGTTTTGTTGAGAAAACTTGGATCCTAAAGCATGTTTCGCATGCTGCTATCTATCTCATATTGCATAGAGTGCTTCTGTTATAAAATGATGTTTTGATGATATGATCTGGTGCATTGCTTTGAGTTGGATGTGTTTCACTTAACTAAGTTTTTTGAATGATTTGAGGCACTGTCCTAGACATTCTGTGTTTAAAAGTTTCCTTTGTGAGAACATGTTGAATTTATTTGGCCAGATTATTGGTTGAAGTTCTAAGTCAATATTTGTGTTCAAATCTTTTTGGAGGAACAAAGTTTAGTGATTAATGGCCTTTATTGTGGACCTAATTTCATTGCCAAGGAATCCCTCTCTGGCACAAGCACTGTTCCGGTCCCTAGAAACCTTTGTGAACTCTAAAATGCCAGGGGTGAAAGGGCAACCTTGTATGGGGAATGTGGTTCACTCTATCCGGTGTCTATTGACTTTAACAAATCCCTAGAGGGTAATTACAAATACAATATGGCTTACTTCATTCACATTAGATCATAATTATATTTATATCTTATATTTTTGTTTTTACCTTTTATCCGCAAAATACTAATTAAGTTTCCCTTCTTTTTTTGCATGAGCACATTGGGCCAGTGGAGTTCATTGTGAACTTTGCCCTAAGTCCAATGAACTGGCGTCACGACCCCCATCTCTCACCGTAGGATATCGTGATGACACCAAGTCTCTAAGACTAGGTAAGCCTAACATACATGAAGAAATGGCGGAAATAAAAATAGAACGTCAAATTTAAATCATCTAACTACCATAATAGAACTCAACAATACCCCTGACAATAACTCCCAAAATCGAGTGAGATTAAGTCGTATGCTCTACACGAAAATACTGAAAGATCCATAATGCATTATTGTCTAAGTAAAGAGTAAGCACTAGAAAAAACAAAGGACAGAGGGTGACTTCGAGGCTTGTGAACGCCGGGCAGGTATACCTTGAAGTCTCCAAACTGAATGCTCTACTCATTGGTGCCTAGCCTGCTATGAGGTGCCTGGGTCTGCAGAAAAAGCTATGCAAAAATGTAGGATTATTACACCACAATGATACAAAGAGCCCGTTTGGATTGGCTGAATTTAAGTAGCTTTTAAGCACCTAGCACTTAAAAGCACTTTTTAAGTGCTGTAGCTGGTTTTATAAATAAGCAGTACGTGTTTGGATAGAAGTGCTTAAGCTGAAAAAAAGTTGTTGAAGTGTTTGGTAAAAAGTTCTTATCAACTTTTTTTTTTTGTTAAAATGACTGAAGTATCCTCAATCCATTTTCAATATAAATGGATTAGATAAATTTTAAATTTGTTCAACTTACATTTCTATATCAAATCAGTTTTCTAGGATTAAACTTTGTATTCCTTCCATCTTAAATGAATAGAAGCGAGCGAAATGCAGTAGAAGCCACTGAAATGAAGAACTACAGTACTAAATACTTGAGTTTCCTAAATACTTGAGTGTCTTTGATGAAAAATGTATACTGCAACAAAATATATTCCATGCGACATTTAGCTCATGTTAAAAAATAAAGATATATTCCAACTCTATGTTAGGGCACATATCGATAGAAATTACAACATAAAAGATTATGCCACATAAAAGAAGAAACAGAAAGATAGCATAGAAGGAAGGTAGAGACGAGATGGATAAATGACGGGAAAGACGATGAACGGGGAAGAAAGGAGTAGGATTAGGGCTTTTGTTTTGAAGGTTAATTTTGGAATTATTGAAAAGATAGGGGATAGGAAAATAAGTTACTTGGTCAAACATGGTTAGCTTTTAAGCCCAAAAATAATAAGTTGGGAAACTCCAACTTATGGCTTTTAGCTTGTTTTGACTTAAAAGCCCAATAATTTTAAGCACTTTTTCAGTTGCCAAACACAAAAACAAGCTAAAAACGGCTTAAAAGCTAGTTTGACCAGCTTTCAAGCCCATCCAAACACCTTCAAAGTAAGTATCAAGCCTAACCTTGGTAGAGTAGTGATAAGGTTAGGTTAACACATCTATTAGGATAGAAAAGAAGTCTAATAAGTATAATACAGTGTAATAGTGGAAACGAGGAAATGAGTTAATGAAGAAATACAACAAGATAAGCTACAACTGAACCTATCTCATATAGCAATACTCGTATCAAGCCAACCTTATCTCATATCAAGCCTACCTTATCTCATCACATGCGTCTGAACCCCTAATCTTACATGGATATCAATATCAAAACTCGCACCTCAAGTGCCCAAATGCCACAACTTGCAAAAAGAATCAACAATATCAATGTTTTCACAACAAACATCACATGGCTCAACCACACCACAATGTGTACAAGAGTCTCAATAATAGCAAACTGAAATTGAATAGCTCAACAATTGCTTCAATGTGCTCACGACCTTTACAACTTCAACATAAAAAACTCAACAAGAACCTATTACGTGAAAACAATAACTTCAAGTAAGCAATTCGACAATTAAAGAAGTAACGGATAATAAGAAAGTCAATAACTTCAACTAAAGCATATAAGAGCAATTAACAAGTAAAAAGTGGAACAAGTGTTAACATTGTCAAATGCGACATGTGAGGGTAGATTAATAAATGTAAGGGTAGACTAACAATGAAAATATAACATGCTATGAAATTTCAATTAAAGTCATAAAAAGAGTCCAAATAGCCTAAATCGATCAAATACCACATATATCCCGTGTACCCACTCGTCACCTTGCGTACACGGCTTTAACATATCACAAATAGCACAATCAACCCAAATCCTAAGGGGTAATTCCCCCACACAAAGTTAGGCAAGATGTTTACCTCAAATAAGCTAACTCAATCCACTAGTAAGCATTTTCTGCGAATATCCAACTCTAAACGGCTTGAGTCTAGCAAAAATAATTTTATACCATAAATGCAAACCATAGGAAACTATTCTTGATAATAATGTTGCAATCCTTAAAGAAGATCAAAAAGTCAAACTTAGGCTCGCGTCTCAGAACCTGACCAAACTTTTAAAATCTGAACACCCATTCAATAACAAGTCAAACCATACTAAAATTATTCAGTTTCAACCTTAAATTGATCTTCAAATCCTCAAAATATAGCTTCGGAAGTTTTCATAATTTTTCCTAATTTTTCCAACCCAAAACAATAATTAAATGGTAAAAACAATGATGGATTCATGTATAATAATCAAATCCGATTCAAAGTCACTTACCTCGATCAACTCCTTGAAAATCTCTTCCAAAATTGCCCAAAACTGAGGTCTCTAACTCAAAATATGAAAAATTGAACAAACTCTCGATTTGGAAATCAAATATATGCTGCCCAATTATTACCTTATGCGATCACGGAAAGGCAAACACGATCACAAAGAACAATTTACACCAGCTAATAAAATCCTAGTACGCGATAGCAAAACATAATCGTGAACGCGATGACCAGTGATCTTCATGCTACGCGATAACAGTCAAGGCCACGCGAATGCGATGAACAACGTGTGCCTCCCTATAGCCTCTCCTTTCTTATACGCGAATGCGGTCCCACTCACGCATTCGTGATGAACAAGCACTACAAACATCGCGATCGCTTTCCAAACTTTACGAGCGCGAAGAGTAAAATATCCATCAGTCACTAAGGACTCTACACGATCGTGGAATATCCTTCGCGAACGCGATGAAGGAAACCATAAACACTGAAAACCAGCAATCTCAATACATGAACAAATTGTCCGAACTCGATGCGAAATACACCAGGTGCCCCTAGGACCCCGTCCGACCATACCAAAAAGTCCTAAAACACGATACGAACTCGCTCGAAGCCTCAAATAATATCAAACAACACCAAAATCATGAATTGCACATCGATTCAAGCCTAATGAACTAATGAACTTCCAACTTCTAAAACTAACGCCAGAACATACCAAACAAACTCCAAGTGACCTCAAATTTTGCGCACAAGTCACAAATGACATAACAGACCTATTCTAACTTCCGGAACAAAAATTCGGATCCAATATCAATAATGTCAAGTCTCGGTCAAACTTCTCAATCTTCCAAACCTTCAACTTTCCAACTTTCGCCACTTCAAGCCAAAACGATCTACGGACCTCCAAATCAATATCCGGGCATACGCGTAAGTCCAAAATCACCATATGAAGCTATCGGAACCATCAGAACTACCTTTAGGAGTCGTCTACACAAAGGTCAAACTCCGGTCAACTCTTTCAACTTAAGCTTCCAACTTTGGGACTAAGTATCCCAATTCACTCCGAAACTCACCCGAAACCAACCCAACGACCCCGGCAAGTCACATAACCACAATATAACATGGAGGAGGCAATAAATAGTGGAACGGGGCTAAAATACTAAGAACAACCGGCCATGTCGTTACAACAGGGCTGCCTCTCCTCGCCGCATTCATTATTTGCTGAAGCCTATTGCTGGTTGATTTTTAAATGGGCAAGAATACTTGTCAACCCATCACATTGTCTAGATCCCCAATCTACTTTATGTTACTTTTTTTTTGGGTTAACAAAAAGGCATATATCATAGATTAAGTGACATTACAAGGAGCAAAGTCCAATGGTGGTTCAGTGTTTCAAAAATAAGGTTTATCACTGCCACCATTGTGTGTTGCATTACTAAAGAGTACATTGTTACTATTAAAAGAGTTTGTCAATCTATGTAAACAAAAAGAAAGGGGTTCCAACTGCGCGGTTGTATGTGTAGTGCGCATGTGGAGTGTTCCCCGTTGGTCTGCTAACAACTCTTGTATTACAAAAGAAGGTGGTTGCACAAATCGGGGCATTGTGATCTAGGGTTGCCTCATATTTAGCAAGTTTGTCTGCCACTTGATTTTGCTCCCTGTTAGAGTGTATTACCCATGGTCTATCCAGTTGGTGTAGTAGGTACTTGGACAATGGAATGGATTTCTTGGCTTGTGGCAGCTACTTGATCTAGCTTAATTTCATCAGCCTTCCAAGTAAGGCAATTCCACCAGAAATTCCTTCAGTAGGTGATTGAGCCAAGTGTGAAAATCCAAACTCAGACTTAAGTGTTTCATGGTCTTGCATGTGTGTTTCCAGTAGTGCTACCAACGCAGGTTTATGATAGTTGAGCATGGAGCGGAAGTTGTGTTTGAGCTCTGGTGATTGGGCCCCTCTACAGTTACAAATGACAAACTGCATGGATTGATTATTGAGTGGACTGTGTGGAGTCTCCGTCTCCATTGTTGAGGATCTGTTCACCCGTGCTGGAATTAACACTATTGCAAATTTTCCCACTTCTGGATTTCTTGTTGGACGGATGTTGAGTGAGACACTTAGCAGTTTCGGTGGACAAGTGATGACCACTTTTCTTTCGTACTGTTCTTTTAGGGTGTAAGTTTTGTTCCCATTGATATAGCATAGTATGGGTAGTGTTTCTTGTATCTCTGCCATGGTGGCTGCCACTTCCAATTGAGCTATTTCGTCTAGTTCGTCAGGAGGTGGACTGGGGTGTT